TTTTTTATTATCTGGTGAAGATACCAAATTTGCGCCACTACTGGTCAACAAAGTAATCGTAGGCCGGAAACGTTTGCTCGTCGAGGGCAAAAAAACTGTTACGGCTGCTACCAACGCATAAGTTCTAACACAGGCAGAGAAGAAACCAAGTAATGTGCCGCTAGAGTTTATACCAAGTTTTCTGTTTGCGAGGAATTCGTTTGCTTGACTTTTTTCAACGGAAAATGCTGCAGATGTTAGTTCTTTGTGTAAAATCGTTATCCCAACAGTTTTCTTTGCCGATGGGAATCGTGTATACGCTGAGCCATAGCTATTTCATTGATGTTGAGAACATTCAGAAAGATTATATTGGTTCGATTAAAAAGTATTGATGGAATTGAAATTTTTTTCTGACTAATTTTACAACTCAGCAAACAATGCAAGCTAATCAACAATATAAAACCATCGATACTCAAAACATTGTCCCACCTAGCGAGCCGGTCAGCATCCTCTTCTCCCAGAACTGGGAAGATTGAGAGTCAAGGGAGACACCGACCACTTGTTCAAGGTGGTCGTAGTTGACGAACTGTTTTTTCGCTAGGCCTTGAAGGTGCGTAGCAAGTGGTAATCTGAGGAGGCAACATCAGGTGAATAGAGTGCGTGTCCCAGCCTAGCTCCTCCAATTTTGCATGAGCCTCTTTACCTATGTGAGGTCCAGCGTTGTCATAGAATATGTGCACGAAAATTCGTCTAGACCGTTTTTCTTGAACGACTTCCGCAAGTTTCTGCAGCTGACCAGCGTAATAGGGAGCGGTGACGGTGTAGCCTTGCTTCAGCAATTCGTCGGACAGCTTTCCTTTCAAATCCTAAAAGCATCAATGAGAAGCTTCTTGAGGTGGAGGTCGGATTTGGCTTTCGTCGGGCCCAAGGACTAGGCGGCGCTGTGCTTGTCAGCGTCGTAGAGGACCCAGTTTCATTTCCAGTAACTAATTCTAGGGAACTCCTTGTGATGTGTGACGAGGAGGAGAGACTAACAAATGGATACCCGAGTGTACCGCATGCTTTCGGTCAAGTCGTGAGGTATCCATTGAGTCAGAACCTTTCTGTAACCGAAGTACTAAAGGCTACCGAGGACTGTTGATTGGGCACATCCACGTTTCGTCACAAGCCTGCTAGTGTTAATTTACGGATCCTCTTTGACGGTGTCGAAAATGACGGAGTCGTCAAATTACGGTATACCTATCATAAGTTAATTCATATGGCTCACTGTCTGATCAGAAGAGGACTAATGCTGCAGATTCGTTACACGTAATTAGTTACTCTTAAGGATACTACGTTTTGATATAGAACCGTGCCGTTGAAGAACACCGTCCGATGTCATTGTGAAGAATTGTAGTAAGTCAGTGCCCATTTACCGAATGATACACAATTTTCATACCATTAGAGACCTTTTCTGCGATTTTCCTCAATATACCAATGAATAATATCGAGATAGTTCCCTATTCAACAGCACTAAATCTTCCTCAATTTCTCAAAGTTAGCTGGAACTAGGAGAGCTTTATTCCGACTTCGAAAAAAAATCATCAGTCAACCTGTTCACTAGCACCCTCAGAAAACTCCGCTCTGAGCCATTTGGTGACTTTTCCTTGAAAAATATAGACGATGTAATAATTTTCTAACAATATACACCACGCTCCTACACAATTTTGACTGATGTATTAGCATTCGAGTATGACAACGCTCGAAAGCAGTATCTGCAGACCGAACTAAATTCAACACACATTTTTGCAGATTCCTAGAAGTAACGCCACCTCTCAATAATGATTTGTCGATTTCAATTCTTCCAAAATCTAATGCATCCTCCCACTTCATTGAACATTTGGAGAATAATTGCGTTGCAACAGCTAACCACAAGTGCCATATATTTTGTTGAATCTCATAAAACCCAATTGAGCTCATCTAGATAAAGAATAAAACGAACTAAAAGGAAAGAGCCATCACCGTACTTGGTACCAATAGACAAATGAATCTCCAACAACGAAAGAGAAGGAAATGGAATAAGGATTCCCACAAGAATTCAAAGGCTAACGAAATATCTCAAAGGAAAAACAATGCTTAAGTTGTATGTTCTCTAACAACAGCGAATTAAAACAGGAAAAAATAAGACTGTCAGTGGCTCAGACGCGCGGAAAGCGAAATAAGGAAGCCCAATACAGATAATAAAAATTGGCCTCGGATTGAACCTGTTACTTTTTAACCATCACATAATCTGCGTCAGCTCTTCGCGGACGGCGCTTCTTAACTTCGCTCTCTGGAGAGGGTGGGGCAGTCGATTCGTTCTGAACAAAATGTATTCGAATACAAACAAACATTACAGGTGGATATCATGTTGGTTCAAAATCCTGAAAGAGAGCCTATCTTCGAATTCTTTTTGAACAATGAAACTCTGATTCAATAATCCGTATACTCATCAGAACATCTATGCGCCAGTCTGAAACTACAGG